TCTTTATTGTGAGGTTATTTATCAGATATCCACATTAAAGAATTTTACTAGCTTTCATACAAGAAAGCATTTTGTCATACAGCCTGATTAAAAATTGGAAATGATTTGTTAACAAGTCAGTGCAATGGAAACTATTAAGCTACTGAACATGCCATATGAGCACTGACAATGTGTTATAGTAAACATGTGGGGAGATATGAACACTACTGTTGCTTAATCCCTACTGTTAAAACAGAGGAACACACACTATGTCTTGGGCAATGGAGAGTTAATAAGACTGGAACAACCAAAAGATGTTTTAATTTAGTTTAGTTTTCAAAACAGAGAATAGGCATCTCCTATCTGCCTGATTAAAATCAAGGTTTGGAATGGATAAGAAATGCCATTTAATTGAGTATTCAAGTTACTTTTAGTATTCACAGATTAAAACTTAGTAATTCTGAATTTCAAGAGGAACGATAGCCTGTCCTAATTACTATATTTTGCGCTCTGTGCTAGGCTAATACTAAATACCAATGACTTTAGCCAGATGCTTGTAATCCTAGCTACTCAGGAGGCAGAGATCAGGAGGATCCTGGTTCAAAGTCTGCCTGGGCAAATAGTTTGCAAGATCTTATCTCAAAAAACTTTATCACAAAAAATTGCACTGGTGGAATGGCTCAAAGTGAAGGCCCGGACTTCAAGCCCCAGTAGTGAAAAACAAAAAAAGATTTTCGAAATAGGAAATCTGTCTTTTGTCTGTAAACAGCCTAAAGCTACTAATGCATGGGGTGCTGTGAGCCATACCAGGGGAAATGAAGTAGAAGTAATTCTTCAGTTAATTTTAATTTGCTATTTTAGGATTTCACCAATATCTTGCAATAGCTATCATAGTGAAATTATCTGTCTTTTGAATAAAAATAAGCAACATGAATAGCTAAGACCCAACACAATGAGAAAATTTAAGAAGATCAAGTGCACTTCAGTTTCTTTCTGTCCTGCATTTTAAGCCTCAAGATAGCTGGAGAAAAGTTCCAGAAAATCTTCCTTTTCAATGAGTTGCTGCTACTTGTGGGGTTGAAATTGGAGACAGTGGACTCAGGCAAGCAAGTATTCTTTCTTATATAGCTTGGACTGTAGCATGTAAGCATGCTGAATGTCCTGAAAAACCCTTGGAAAGAATCACTGCTTGTTTAACAACCAAGCTACTCCCAATGTTGTAGAGTAAAGACTCATAATATACAGCTTTCCAGCTAGGTCATCTTGAGCCACTCAACTGAACAGACATTATGCTCATTTTACAGATAAGGAAACACATATATGCCATATTTCTCAAGGAGGTAACCTCTGAACCACAATATTTTATTATCTTGAAGTACTTCTAGAAAACAAAGACATTCTGGCAATATTTTTGGTGCTTGAATAAAGCACTCACATTCTAGCCTTATCTTTTAGGGTTTTGGCACAAGTAGGTTGATTGAGAAGAATTTAATGAAGGAGATACTGACAATGGTATGACCTGGTTAAGAGAGGCCATCAATGAAGCAACCCAAAACTAGCAGCTGAATTACCAATAATCACTCCTTTACCTGAAGGAGCCTGGGGATGAGGTAATTATTGGCTGTTAGGTAGAGTTTTACTTTAACAGTATGTGTAAATAATGAACACAGTATGCCTTAACATGTGGTGAATGTCTCTGGGCAGTGTCTAACTTCACTCTGCTTCATTCTTACAAGTATAACCTGCTAGTATAATCCATGTTGGTGGAACCTAATAGAAATCCAGAAAGTAAGAGAGAAAGCAAGACATTAAGACCTCTCTTTTATGCCAAGAGTAAGTGGAAAAGGTGGATAGTGAAAATGGAAGAACAATTATTAGTGAATACTGAGTAGTCTAGCCACCAATTTAGGTATGCAATAAATAAGGTCCAGTGAGGGTAGGAGAAAGTGAAAGGAAACAGGGTAACTGGGTAACCACTGTATGCCAAGAACATTGGAGTAATTATCTTATGTGATTTTAGAATATTCACCATAAGGGGCTGGCTATTGTCTTCACTTGACAAGGTGGAATATTGAGTCTTGGAAGGTTTCATAATTTTTTAAAGATCATAAAGCTATTGTGTGTGAGAATAAGATAAGAAACCAAATGTGCTTGGCTTCAGTTATGAGACAGCATTCTTAAGGGGAATCAAAAATTTCAATATAGTTAAGCAATGTGAAACAGTGCATATAAATGTTGGAGGCCATAAAAATTCTATAGTTGGTGGAGATCTACAGAGCATTTCTTGTCCGATCTGAAAGGAGTGAAGAGCTACTTCATTCCTACTCTGATATATCTCATTGACAGTAATCCAGGTATGCTATTTTCAACTGGTTTACAAAATTATGTAAAAACTCAGTATCTGATAGACATCACTGTTGTGGTTTTGATCATTTTCATTCTTATAATAGATAAAAACTATGAGAACAACACATTTGAATCTGTTCTTATTAGAAGAAAGTTTCAAGAATTCTTCCACTCAACCTGAGAAGTCTCATTATACATCAGACATGATCCCACCAACTTTCTTGAGAAACATTGCTGCCTTACTCAGAAAGTTATATCATTTTTCTGTGGTTATGAGAAGCTCTATGTCAAATGACAAAGTTCAATGTGTGACATTAATTAAGTGATGACCTTAGAATGCAATGGTACCTAAACTTTGCAACCATTCATATAAAATATGATGGGAATAAAACAATTATTCAATATTTTCTACCAAAAATTTGACCCACATTGAAAATGGTCTGAATTATAAAAATATATATCCATAGCAAAATAGCTGTCTTGGCACATCAGCATGCTAACAATGAGGTCATGTTATTATTGTATCTGCTTTTTTATTTTTCTTTTATCCCTTGAATAATGCTACAGTCATCCAAATCTGAATAATTGCTATATATTTTTCTGTATTTGTTTTCAGATAGGTGTGATCTCTGAGTTATATTATGCTGCAATGAAACCCTGAAACAAATAATTGTGTTAAAAATTGCCATTATTTTACTATTAATGTTTCCAAATAAGCAGGGTTATCCAGTTGAGTGCTCCCTGAATGAGAAGCTCTTATATAAACATGATCTCAAGGTCTAATAAAATGATGGGAACTGAGCACTCTTCCCAGAGCCTGCTCCTTGCAGTGGTGGATTGAATTTCCCTAGCCACTCTTGTGCCTCACTTGTCACTTGGGTCATTCAGAGACTTGAAAACCTTTTACAGACAGATGACTTAGTTAGAGCATATGGGTCAACACAAAGCAAAACAGGATAACAACTTCAGAAGTAAGCAAGAGAGTGCTTCATTTGCAATTTGAATTGAATATTTATGGTGTACTTGGGGTAAGAAGCAAAGAGAGAGGATTATATTTAATCTAGATAGCTTCCTGCTACTTGAACATGTATTCAATGGAATATTCTGATCTAGACGTGAGAGTTTTTATTACGAGTATTTAACAGTATAGAGCACTTTATGACACAGACTTAAGTAAAAATGTAGGAAACAGAAAAGTATAGTATTGCTCTAGAGACAGAGCTCAGGATAGACCACTTACCTAGTATGCATGGATTCATTACTTACCAGTGGAAAAAAATAGAAGAATTTCTTATTATAGCAATATTAAATTTTTAGTTATTCAAAATTGGAAGAAATCAAATAATCCATCAATATGGGAATGCTTAGGCTACTTATATTCATATGATGAAAATTATGTACCCAGAAGAATTAGTGAGGTGAACTACTATATACTGGCCAGGAAGGTTCTCAAAAACATTCATTGTGAGAAAAAGGAGGATTCAGAAAAATTCTTATATTTACATTTTGGTTAAAGGTTTAAATGCATTTATCTGTGTATACATATCATAATTTTGCAGTGATGCATATCAAAATATCAACAATATTTATCTATAAAACACTGGAGGTAGGAAAAAGGCTAAAATAAAGATTTTCAAAATAACCTCAGAAGCATGTAAAAAAATTTAAATTTTTTCACAAGAATATTAGATTACATTATAGACATACTTTATATATATAGTACATTATGCATATAATGTACTATATATGTGTGTATTAAAATAGCACATTGAAACCCATCAAAACTTATTTAAAAAGGGGGAAGAAGGATAGTTATGAAAGGATAACATAGACGGGATGAATTTGATCAATGGACATTATATGCATGGTGTAAATATCATAATGCAACCCTTTGTACAATTAGTATATGTTAAGAAAAATTTTTAAAAAAGCAAAAAGAATATGAAATTATTAGTGAAAAAAACCAGCATGAAACTCTACAAATGTTTCTTAAAAGTCAATAGAAAGATTTTAGCAGTGATAATTTTCTTGTGATTTTTGTTTTACCCACTTTTCTCTTTTTGGTATCTTCCCATTTTCTTTAAAACAATTGTTATTTTTCTAGTAGAAAAGATGTAACTAAACTGTTAAAATATAAATGTAATTGAATATTACCTTAGGATTTAGACACTTGACTATATTAGTTTTGATTGGTATTTTATTCATCTGAATTGACTCTAATGATGCATTTATTTCCTTCATTTTTCTAATGTATTTGTGAGATTCAGAATAATATGTCTTAGACTTCAGAGCCTTCAAGCTATTTGTCTATTTGTTCATCTTGTAGGAGAATTGGAGTCTGTGATAAATTAGAGGATTCTTTCACTTCTAGGGTTTTCCTGGGTGGATGAGGATGTGTTATGATTTATACTTTAATTTGGTAAGAAGTTTACTTTCTAAAGTATATTTTTGCAAGTTCTTTTTATGCATCATAAAATGTGTTTTTGCAAGTTATCCATGAGTGTCTATGACTACAGTCTTTTCTGGTGTTGATATCATGATACATACCAGTTAAATGTCAACAGAAAATTCTCAGTAGGCACTTGTGTGCTTATGAGTATGTGTGTGAGACTCACACAACTCATTTTTGAATAAGCTCTGTATCTGAAAATCATTCTTCTATTTTTCTCCTTCAGCTGTTATAAAAACTGCCCTTCCCAACATGGACAGAGAAGCCAAGGAGGAGTACCTGGTTGTTATCCAAGCCAAAGATATGGGTGGACACTCTGGTGGACTGTCTGGGACAACAACACTTACAGTGACCCTTACTGATGTTAATGACAATCCTCCAAAATTTGCACAAAGTAAGTTATTTTCCTGCACTTATGAGAATCACTTCAGTTTGTATTATAATATTCACTGACATTCTATAAGCTAATAGAAATCATTGTTTACTTGATTGCATGGTATGGCAACACATACATATCTGAGTAATATGTATGAATAATATGTGAATATGAATAAAAATTTACTGTGTGTATTACATTTATCCCAATTTTAATTATTAGAAAGGCGTTTTTAAAAATTTCAAGTGTACAGTAAGAGAGAATTACAATGAATTTTAGAGAGAAATGACAGTGACGCTCAGATACTAACCCATTATTGATCTTGCTGCTCTATAAAAGAAATCAAATCACCAATGTCTGAATTTCCAAATTTACTGAAATTTCCAAATATTCAGTAAACTTACTGAAAAACATTTACCCCTCCTTCCTGCCACTGGGAGAGACATCAGTAATCACTGATTCTGTTCTACCCTTTGAGTTGTGTCTGCTTTAGAAACTTCAACAGCAATGCCATGCAGTCGCCATCAATGCATCAGGGAGATGATCATTATCAGCCAACTTTCTTATTCTCTCATAAAACTCTTATGAGCATTTGTCCCAGTAATGTGATATAAAAGAATGATTCAGCAAGGCTTTCTAACATGAGGACTCTTGAACTGAGCTATGAAGAATGAATGGAATTGGAACAAGATGAAAGCAGTGGAGGGAGAATGAGAATTACAGCTAAAAAGGATGTGTAATAGGTATTCAGCATTTTTTTTTCAGAATTCACATATGAATTAGTAAGAGTAGATGGTATTTGCTTCTGTGTAGCTTATTTCCTTTAACATAATATCCTCTAGGCTCTGCTATGTTGTCAATGGCAAGATCTTCTTTTTTAAGGCTTCATAATATTTCATTATTTATATTTAACATAATTTCTTTGTTTAGTCTTCCAGCATTTTGTTTCTATTCCTTTACAGTTGTAAATAATGCTGCACTGAATATGGCAGTACATATATCTTTCTGGGGTGGAGTTTTGTTTTCAAATCATTAAATTGTGCACATTAAACATATACAATACAAAAAAAGCCCCATGGAAGGTAGGCATATGAACTCGAATGGAAATGCAAAGGATTTCAGTGCAATGGCATCATAAAGCACTGGAGAAAATGTTGCAACGAGGGGTAGAAATTAGCTGTACATGTATTTGAACATCATTTCACATACAATAGCCTTATTCTAAGATCACTGGGAAGCCCTACAAAGATTTTCAAATTGCAAGCAGAGTCATAATCTTTGGTTCCAGGGAAATCAGAAAGAGATGAAATTTACTTTCTTCTAGTGTTTTCTCCATATTGCATCTCATTAAGAGGATATTTTCCAAATATTCATGTAAAAGGTGTTGGTATCTCTGGCAAGCAAAGGTGCCCACAGCAGAAGTGGAGCAAAGCATGGGTGTGATAAATATTTAGGAATTAATCATGACAAATATGTAAGGATGGATTGAATTTTTGGTTAAGGAATATATGTTATCATATTTCTGATATTAGAGACTAGATGATTGATGATGATTATTGCTGGGATAGGAAACACCACAGAAAAACTAATCTTTGACAAGACAGAGAAAAGTGAACAGGGGAGAGAGGAGTTTGAAAAGATATAGTTGATATCATTTGAAAATTTATCAGCAGAAATTCCAATGTAGAATGAATAGAGGAGATATATTTTCATTAAGAATTTCATAATTTTTATATCTGGTTAATTATAAATTAGACAACAATGCAACCCTTTTAGCAAAATTATTGAAGTAGAGAGCATTATTTAGCCTGTCATTTCCCCAGTCCTTTATTTCTTTTTCAGTTGCCATTATAGTTAATGCAGCAATATGCAACTGTTCTTTCTCAGAAAATGATTATTTCAATTCAAAAGTGGAAGATGAGTTGCCTAAGTGTTCCCATGTTTAGAGAGAATAGCTATTAACTATGATAACACTGATAGAGATGATGAGAAGGAGCAGAATATCAAAGGGTAAAGGAATGTTCCATTTGTTTAGTTTCTCAAAACTCCCTGATGTAGGACTGGCAGCAAGGTGAGGTTCCTGACTGACTTGTTTATTTAATAAATTTACCTAGGGGACAATCTCCAACCTAATCTGGAATCTAAAGTTTGCAGAAAATGGAATCATTACACCAATTATGAGACAACCCAGAGACTTGTACTCTACATGCTGATTCTCAATGCCTATTTTATGATAAAAGTATTTGGAAATTTTTTACCCCAACCCTATAACTTCATGATTCTAAGAGATTTTCTTTATTTCAGCATTATGTAAAAGGGTATTAGCACTTGAAGAAACTTTGCTCTTCAACTAGGCCAATCTTTTTATATAGGGTAAAATGAAACTTACTGTATTCAAGAGATTCAATGATTGAGTTCAAGTTAGAAATTAGAATTAGATAATGTTCTCCTGATTTAATCTTTCATTTTTTTATAGCTCATTGAATGTTTACTTTTCCCTTGATGCGGTTGTAAGTGGACAAAAATTTCCTGGCTGTCTGAGTTTGGTTCAGCAGAAACAGACAGTGAGAAGCAAAAAACAAAGAGCCAAAAATGTATTCATCATCCTACCAGCTACTGCTGTAGGTGTATACAACTTTATCAAGCTTAGGAAAGTCGACTATTGCAAAGAAATAAAAGAAAAAAAACCTGAAAGTCATCCTACTGGAGAAGGGAAGAGACTAGGATTTTATAAACTAATTCCTGTGAATATGTAACAGAGGCTCTGTGGGGGCATCAGTGCTTTTGTTCCAGCTTGACATACAATGGGCAAAATGGAATCTGAAAACTAAAGAAAACCCTCAGGCAAAGACATAGAGGGTTGGCAGTTAGATGTAGGGTAGGAGAGGGCTAAAGTGGTAATGTCCAAGGATTATTGTTGGAGCACCTCCAGCTTCCACTACACCATTGAAAGTGAGTGACACCAACATCAAAATGAAATGATTTAAATAAAAATAGGACAAGTGCCACTAGTTAGACATGTTTTACTGTCCCCATAGGAGAATGAAAACATACTGCAATTATATTTTGCCTAGGGAATTTTTAAGGTAGGATTTTAGTCTTTAGAGCACTGAGGACTTCAGTAACAAGAAGAGTTTTTTGTGTCTGAACAGCTTGCTGCAGGGCACAGAGAAGTTTCGTGATTGGATTGTATCAAAACTGGTCTACAAGTTTGTAAATATAAAAGTAAGTTCAAAAGTGACTTTCAGAGTATTACACATTGCATCTTTCTATGCTGAAATTAGCTTAATATTTTATGTTTGGCAACAATGAATATCCCCACAGGCAGCCAATATGATTATACAGAAAATTGGAAAGAACTTTCACATTGATTCACTAATATTCTGATATAACTGTTCCAAATATATTCTTGGTAAACATGTGGTAGAATAAGTTCCATATCTCAGAAGAGTCGTGAAAAGAGTTCGCTACTTTTGGGAATTGTCTCTGATTTATTTAAAAGATGTTACATTTCACACAGGAAGGGATATTTCTGCCTTTTCTTTTACTGCCTTGGTAACATCTACAGGAATTCCTAGAACAAAGTGTTCCAGACATCTTTGCTAAATGGATCAGTGAACAGTTAGAATTTGTACATTACTCAGTGTTTCTCCTTTTTTCTAAGGTCTGTATCACTTCTCAGTACCAGAAGATGTGGTCCTTGGCACTGCAATAGGAAGAGTCAAGGCCAATGATCAGGATATTGGTGAAAATGCGCAGTCATCATATGACATCATTGATGGAGATGGAACAGCACTATTTGAAATCACTTCTGATGCTCAGGCCCAGGATGGCATTATAAGGCTAAGAAAGGTAAGCTAAGGAGATTTGGGTCATCTTCAAAATATCTCTATGCATCTTTACTTTTTAAGTTTTTGGGAGTTGAAAGGGCTGAACCAATCTTAGAGCTGGTAGATATTTAGTATTTACCTGTGAGACAGAATGAATAATAGAATCCTTTTAGCATCTCCAATCCTTTATGTCCACTTCACATTTCAGATAGAGCTCTGGTGAACAGTAACCACAATGGTGTTGGCCTCCAGTCTCTTACCACCCCCTCCAAATGCCTCAATAATGTTTCCTAAGTCACAAGAATACTCAGGCTTTGTCTAGAGTACTCGTGTCATGTAGAAAAAGCAACACCCTGAAGGGAACCCTCAACCAAAGGAGAACAAAATTGTGTTAACCATTACTATAGTTTGCAGAAACTATTCTAGGGCATATTGCATACAGTCAAAGAAGGAATAATTCTCAGTTGCCCCACAGAGGTAACAAGTTCAGTAGCTTTTAGTCTGCACCTGTATAACTCTCCCATTTCTGCATTCCTGCTTCCTGAAATATCTTCCCAAAATACATTGACATTTGCCCAGTTCCTTAAACTCATACAGGAAGAATACTCAGGCTCAGGTATCCTGGATAGCTATGGAATTCAAAGTTCAAAGACAACCCAGCTACCACTGGATACTTTAAACCAGGGTCAAAAGTCCAAACATTATGTGAAATAAAGGTCATCTTTGCCTTATGTCCAGGTGTGGGGATACACCTGGATAAAGGGATATCTCTATTATGAGTACAATATAATAATGTATGACAATTTGAGTCTGCTTTTACCAGTCACCTGATCTTTGGCTAGATGAGAAAAATCCTGAACTTTTTCCTATGTATTTCTCATCATACAACAATGTATATTCATAAAAAATGTGAAGAAGACAGTTCATTATTTTATAAAAAATAAACATCTTTCACAAGGAAAAATACTCTTCACTATGATGAACAAAATGATTGAATGTTCAATATCATTCTTCATATATTTTTTTTGGTGTGTTTGTGTGTACTGGGAATTGAATCCAAGTCTTCATGCAGGCTAGATAGACAAACAATCTACCACTTAAATTATGCCCCCAGATCTTTTGTTTTTATTTATTTATTTTGTTTTTGAGACAGAGTGTCTCTACCTTTCTGACTGGGCCAACTTTGAGCTCTTGATTCTCCTCAATGACAGGTGAGAGAAATTTATCTCCGGGACAATCCTGGGAGAAGGCTTGGAGAATTATCAGAGTATGGAGGTTGGGACAGCAAGAGGGATGAGGAAAGACGAGATGTTGATCAGAAAGTCCAAAATATCAGACTGAGCAAATAGCTTTTAGTGGTCTATTGTACAGCCCAGTGACCACAGTTAATAATACTATATTTTGTGTTTCAACATTGCTAGAAGAATAGATTTTTGAACTTTTCTCTTTCCCCCAAAATACTGATAAAAATCTCTTGAACTGTTCAGGAATGGTGCATTAATGTGTCAGATATTGTCAGTAATGGTGCCATAAGGGCATTTCAAATTGTTTTTAAGTGATTGGTCAGATCTAATTTTATCTACGTATACTGCTTTCACTCATTCTTCTTCTAAATGTAACACAATTGGATTTATTTTTGCATACATATCTTCTTATATGCCCACCTGCTCCACAGGACAACACTTATAATACAGACCTCCAAAGAATGGGCTAAAAAATAATAAACTTCATTTCAGCTACATGATCAGTAGAATAGCAATGCTTTGGAAATGAAATAAGAAAACACTGTTTGTTGGGATTAGTGCTAAATTATGCTTTATAATGCCTCCTTGGACTAAACAATGATTATTTCTAGTTCTTTACATTTCACACACTGTTGCAGAAATGATAAAATATTCTTTCCAGGTAGAGATTGTGTTCAATGCTGCCTTATCTCCTGCCAGCAGAGGCCCGATTAACTGGCTGATTAGTATGCAGGTCATGTCATCACTAGTAAAATTTTATTATGACTCTGAAGTGAAATTTTGATGGCACAATTCATGACTGTGAATATTTTGTGAATTCCAAGTGAAATGAGCAAAACAAAACAAAACAATAGGAGATTACATTCACTGAGCTTGTATAATAAACGGATATCAATAAATGCCTGTAAAATTTACAGGTTGAATCAGGGGGAATGGATCCCATTAAGACTCACAAATGGGCTTAAATGCACATAACTTTCATCCATCACCATTATACTCATTTGTTCTTGCTGCTGTGGTCATTAGTGAGAAGCATTTATCTTTGTCATTTCTTAACAGCCTCTGGACTTTGAGACCAAAAAATCCTATACGCTGAAGGTAGAGGCAGCCAATGTCCACATTGACCCACGTTTCAGCAGCAGGGGACCCTTTAAAGACACGGCCACAGTCAAAATTGTCATTGAGGATGCTGATGAGCCTCCCATTTTCTCTTCACCAACTTACCTCCTTGAAGTTCATGAAAATGCTGCTCTGAACTCTGTGATTGGTCAAGTGACTGCTCGTGACCCTGATATCACTTCCAGTCCTATAAGGTATTTCTCTTTTAAAACGAACACTGGCTATCTCAAATGACAAGCAAATCAGTTCAAAATGCATTTATGCACACATGCTAGTTGGTTGCCTTAGAACTATGCCCACACAATGGAGGAATTTTGGTCAAAATCTGTGTCTGCGTGTGTGAGTGTGTGTGTGTGTGTGTTTGTGTTTTGTTTGTATATATGCATGTGTGTGCCTCCGAAGAGCCACATGATTGCATGGAGCCAGGAACAACAAGATGAATCTGTTCATGCAGCCTTTGGAAAGCTCAATGAAGATACAAAATTACTAGCATTTTGCAATATATTTGAGTGGGTCTTTTTTGCTTTGTTATTTTTCAGCATTGAGAAAGCATTGCCAGTTTGCACTCTGTTTCTTTTGACAGTTACAGTGAATTATATATTAGAATTTTGAGGCATGAGAACACTGTGTCAATGCATTAAGAGGTTCCTATCTTATTTCTGTGCTTGGTGTTTGGCTTTAAAATTATCTTCTTCTCAGTTCATGGGCATTTCTGATGGGTCAGCATATCTGGTCTCGTATCTTTTAGAGAAAAAATATTTCTCTGTCATTTCAAAAATGCCTTTAGTTTATACTTTCCCTGCTCTGAATTTTTTCCAATGATGAGAAATAATCCTTTATTAAAGTTTTTCTGCACTTTAGAAATGAGGCTCAATGCTAGTTTTTTTGAACTGTATACATCTTTTCTCTTTTAACAGTCAGCCAAATGACAGTACAGGTGCTCAAACTAAATAGCTTTCTTCCAAAAGCACAATGAAAATCTATATCTTGGATGCTGGTCTCCAAGGCTGAAGTGCTGGCTAATGACATGTTGTAGTGTGATTTCAAATGTTGGTTTAGAAATTATTTGGAGAGAGGGATGGATGGAGAGAGAGAGAGAGAGAGAGAGAGAGAGAGAGAGAGAGGGAGAGAGAGAGACAGAGAGAGACAGAGAGAGAGAGAGAGAGACAGAGAGAGAGAGAGAGACAGAGAGAGAGAGAGAGAGAATTATTTTTTTAAAAGATTTGTCCAAAATTTATGCATTAGATGCCAGCTCATATGGAACACTTTCAATTTCCAAGCCACATATCTCTGTGAAAGATATCTTTCCAATTGCTTTATTCAGAAAGAGCTTTAGAGTCTAGTGTTTTCTGGAAATTTTATCTATTTGCTTTTTAAAAATATTTTAAATTAGCATTACTCCCAATGTTGCTAAAACTATGTGACTGAGAATGAAACCCTGCATAGCAGACAGTTCCCCAAAGAATTTGAATTTGGATAAAAATAAATTATTTTCAGGTACGGAAGTTTTCTTTCATAAGAAACACTCTAATTCTAAATCTAGGATAATAAATAAGAGTACATCCTATATTGTTTTTTAAAGGTTGGAGGATATAACAGGGGGAATATAATAGAGGGTAAACTTGCTCAAAATACACCCCTTGCATGCATGAAATTTTCACAGAAAACCCCCTTGGACTATTAATGAATCTTCAATAAAAAAAAATGAGTGTATCCTACAAGGTTCTAAAGACATCTTTCTGAAGAAAACAACCTCTAAAAAGGTAGCTCTCAGATACAGGAGATATAGGAATAGGTAGAAAACCCAAAACATGAAAGTGTTTGATGTCCCCATTCCAGAGGAACTAATACAGAAACCTTAAATCAACAGAGGTCAACATGAGAAGGGGATCAGTAACCAGTGTAAAGATCGGTTAGAGATGAATCAACATGGGTTGCAACACATGTGTACATGAAAGCAATGCTAGGAATATTTCTTTATAGCTATTTTCAACTCAACTAGCAAAAACTCTTTGTCTTTCTTATTATGCTTATGTCTTTTCTTCATCAAAATTAGAGATAAAGGAAGTGAGGGAGGGAAGAGGGGAAAGTTTGGGGGAGGGAGCAGGGGGGAGATGTGACCCTAACAATGTATGCACATGTGAATAAATAAATAATTTTTTTAAAAGGTAGCTTTCCACCTGAGGGGTGGTCCACTGGACATTCTCAGTTCTAAAGGAATTCAAGAAAATATAGACATACAGAAAGCTCCTTATTTTGTCAAGATAATCATAATTGTGAAAGGTCAAGTATTAAAATGCAAGGGCAGAGAGTATTCAGTAAAATAAATTCACATGGGTATCAACATCCTGATTACATAGTAAAATACACAACTTGATCACTCTGTTAGAATGCTTATATGAAGAGAGACAGTGACATTTATTGAAAGAATAAATGTACCTTGCTGTCATGTTTCTCCATTTTCTCTGAAAGGAATGCAGGAAGGAAATTTATATCTCCAAAATGTGAAGGGAGTAAGCCAGATTGGTTCAACCAAGAGACCACTCTTGGAGCTAGTTGTATTCTTGAAAGCAGGGAGCACATGAGCTCTCAGGAGAATGCCAGGCCAAGGCCCTAAGGAATAATAGAGATTCAAATACTGCAACCATCACAATGTGCATTCCAAACATGGTTTCTATGGCATCAATGAGGATGGACTTCCAGAGCAAAGACATGTCCCTCATCAGCTAGACAATGGGTCTGAAAGGCTATTTATGCCATAGTGAGAGTAACCTTGAATTGGCAGATCTGGCTTTAAATCCAGGCTCAAAAATTTCCACATTTTTGCCCATTTTATAACCATATCCATTATACTGATGGAGAAACAGAGATATACTGATAATAATTCCAGTCCACAGGGAATCAAGGTGTGATCCTCATTGTAATCGATTGTTACTATTTCTATCATTGTCCCTGATGGGAATGTTATGTGTAGAGGAAGTCAGAGGCTATTTGGCAATAACTGTCCAGCATGTCATTTCCAGATAAGCTAAAGAGATTTGAGGCTGTGATGCCAGGAAGAGACAGACAGATAATGTTCAATTTAATGTCACAGATATACCTATGCCTCTGATAGGTGTAAGTCATGTATTAGTCCCTAGGCATCTATAATCTCATCTAAAGAAAAGATGAATACTCTTGCAAAGCATTTACGGTACATTTTGAGGTTTCAGTCAGAAGGTGTGCCCCACGCAGTCCTGACAGGAGGTTGATTGACTCTATGAGAAGTGAATGGAAGAATCACCCATAGCACTTTTCCACATCTGCTCTGCAGTTCTGCAGTTCACGTCTCCAGCCACTCAGCTTATGGAGAGCAGTTTCCTCTGTCTATGTAAAACTGGCTAATTTGAGTAGAAAATTAAATTTCCTGACTAGCCACAGCAGTGCGTAGTTCCTTGTGAGTATAGCAGACAGATTTAGAGCTATTTCTGCTTTTTAAATAGAACTGAAGGACATAGATATTCAGGGAATCGCTGGCTAACATAACTTGCCTTATTTTCTCTTTAAGACTATCGTATTTTACATGCCGACAAGAATGAGTCCATCTTTCAGGATGACATTCGCTTTGCTATCCAGCAAGAAACAGGCTGTTGTCGTAGCATCTGACTTGTTAAAACATGCTGTTATTTGATGGTTGGTCAACTTCCTGTGATTCTCCTTTTAAAACACATTGCCTTTCTAGAAATACCAAGATTAAAAAATCTTATTCTTCATCTTTGTATCTGATCCATATCTATATGTCTGCATAGTCTCTTCTAAAGGAAAATTACAGTGATGTGCAGCAAATCCATGATCTTACTTTGTCCCTTCCAGGAATATTAATTAGGAACTTGTTACTTTCTGTGATACTATATATCTCTCATTAATACAGAATAAAGTTGGATAAATTATTTAAAAGATGACAGATTTTGAACTTAGGAAGACTAAGTCTCAAATCATATCACTATTGCTTCCCAGTAAAACTGTTAGCTTCTGGCATTTTCAAGACTTACTTTCCTCATCGGACATGGTAATACCATCTTCCTCACAGCCTTACTTAGATTATTAAATAAAGTTATTTAATAATATGTTGGCACTATATAATTAGCAGTTAAGAAAAGGTAAGCCATCACCAATTCTATATTTTGTACACAAATTTAAAATTCAGTAGTTCATTTTATCAGAGATTTTTCTACTAAAGACGGCTAACTATATGCTGAATGATCTAATTGTTAAGTGATATACCAAATAGTATAATTGACCTCACTTAGTCTAATTTGCCCCTGTCACTGCTATAAATATTGATACTAGTGAGTGCTTAATCAGGGCCTGTGCTAATATACTAATTTTATTCTCTATCACCTCTCTGATAATATATTCAGTCATTATCCACATTTAACAGAAAAGAAAACAGAGAATATAAAGACTAACTTGCTCATTATCACTCAAATGGTTAACAATGAATTGGCTTTATCCCTGGTTGTATTTTGTCCATTATTGTGACAAAATACCTGGACCAATCAACCTAAAGGATGAAAAGTTTACTGACTTAGGGTTCCAGCGGTTTTCAGTCCATGGTTGCTTGACCACATTGCTATGGACCTGTGGCACCACAACACATTATGGTGTGCGTGTGTGGCCAAGAAGGCTGATCACCTCACGGCAAAGACAGAGAGCAATAAAAGAGAAACCAGAAGGGTGAAGGGTCTCAGTATTCCTTGAAGACTATGCCCCTAATGACCTAACTTCCTTTTACTAGGCCACAACTCCTAAAGGTTCCACCATCTCCCAATAGTGCCATAGTCTAGTCATCAACACTTTAACATCTTTGGGGAGCATTTCAGATCCAAACTGTAGCACTGGATTGTTGTCACAGTACAATTCTTGTTCCCTACCTTAAAGTTTCTTCTCCTATGATTTTTGTGAGTCCAACTATGTCTATATATTTTAATGTGTCTTTAACAGGAGCAATTTTCATTAAACTAATAAAGTCTTCATTCTCTAAATAGTTTCACCAAATCTAGGGTACTTACCAGGAAAGAAGGAAAATAAATCAGTTCTCTGGAGTTAGAGTGTTTCTGCAGTTAAACAGAGTGTTCCTGAATTCTCTCTTTCACTACTTTGTACAGGTCGGTTACTATTGGCTGTGAACCATATTGTGATCTGGAAGATGAGG